AAACGAGTGATGTGTGGAGGCCCTGCTGACGGTTCTGGTGGACCAGATTAACCGCCCGATGAAGTGCCCTGCAGGTCGACATGTCCGGCCGGAACCCATATTGTCGTGGGTGTAGTAGCCCTTTCCGCTTAAAGTGGTGGAGTATCCTGTCGCTGAGGATTCTGTCAAGAACCTTCCCCAGGACTGGCAAAAGGCTGATCGGTCTGTAGGACCTAGGTTCGTTCTTCGGGCGCCTACTTTTGTGAATGAACACAAGACGCGCCCGCTTCCACTGCACTGGGAAGTGACCCAGGAGTAGACACTTCTGATACAGAGTACGGAGCAGGTTAGGACGTTCCTGATGCAGAACTTGTACCATTTCGGCCGTGATCCCATCAACGCCAGGTGCCTTACCCTTCCGTAGGTTACCGATGATGTGGGTTACCTCAGAGTCGGTCACCGGCACGGGCATCGCAGCCTCAAGAACGGGCAACTCCGCTTCATCGCGAAGCTGCCGCTGTTCTTCGGTGTCGTCTGATTGCTCGTCACATGGAAAATGCGAGCGGAGCAACACCTCTATCGACTCCTCCATTGTGGAGGTTAGGGTGCCATCCGGCTTTTTGATGGACCCCAAGACCGTGCTACGTTTTAGCTTACCAGAAACTAGTTTGTAAGGAAGGCCGAACGGGTTTTCATCACAAATACGCTGACAGAAACTGAGCCATGAGGTCTTTTTCGCATCGTTTATCTTATACTTGTANATCCTCTCTAAGTGAGTGTAATGCAAAAGACAATAGTTCTTTGCTAACTCATGAAAAATTATGATGATTTATATGGGAAGTGAAGATAGCTAGTATATAACCAAAACGTATTTTCCCACCTATTTTCAAGTTCTGGACATTTTTGATGCACTGCAGCCTTTAGTTTTAGTTCATCCAGTTGGAGACAATATTTATTGGAATTAATTATTTGGTTGTTGGGTAAAAGCTTGTAATAAAGAACCCCTTTCCAATCCTACTAAACTGAAATAATTACTTTTCTGGAATGCAAACCAGCTTTAGGTTGTGGCACTGAAGGATCACCTGGCTTACTCCAATATCTCTTGCACTGAATATTGTAAATGATCCATTTTTCATCTCCTGTTATTAATCACTTTAAAAATGGATCATCATCATTGCATTTTAAAAGTTAATTATAAACAGAAGCATGTTCAATAAGGTTTTGTTCATTTAACTGATGGGGAACCCAAACATCATAATGGGAAGTGTATCCAAGACTAGCCAAATGTTTCAGATATTTTTAAGATGTTGGCTATCTCTCATGTTGTTCTATGTCGGTCATTTTGAATTGAAGTTATTATGGACCCATCTTCTGTGGTCGAAGACCTTCCTGACCAAGGTACATCTTTGAGAGAAAAATCTTCTGCCCTGAATTTTGAAAACCATTTCTGGCATGTTCGATCAGTAACTGCATTTTTCCCATATACAGCACATATCTTCTTTTGAGTTTTTGTTGCATTTTTTCCTTTTTGGAAATAATAGAGCATAAGATGTCAAAAATGCACCTTCTTATCTTCCATTTTAATGTTTTTATTTATCTCAAAAGATAACAGAATTTTAAAAAATAGCTGTAATTAAACTTATGTATTAAATATGCAAATATTCATAATGTCTACCTGTAATATATGGTGATAAATTAATTAAACATTAAATTTAATGTATATGCACGGGAGGTGGCAATATGGGTCGAGTCTATGGTGGTAGGAAAAAAGAGATTGCCATGTTTGAGCTGTAGGGAGCCAATGAGATGTACCTGTGTTCAGTTGTGTGTGAATAAAGAGTTGTTCATATTACCTGATCAGTATTGCCGTATTACTGAGTCATCTATAATACACTACTTAAACAAGTTAAATCTTGATAAGATCAACAGAGGTGACACAGACAAGTAATTATGTAAATACCCAAACAAATTTTCGGTTCAACCCAATAGTTTGTTAAGGCTGTGTACACATTAGGCGTTTTTAAACGCGCGTTTTAAAGAACCAAGAGTTCTGCATAGGTATACATACTCAAACGCACATTGATAGATTTTTGTTAGAACATGCGTTTTGTGGGCGTCAGCCGCGCGCTTTGAGATATATGTGCTGCCATGTTGTTGTACATTCGATCACACGCTTTCAGATAGAGTGGATGTACGTTGACCGAAATGAAGAACGAGCATTTCGATACTGATCTATTTATTGATGAAATCTAAAAGAGACCAGCCATTGTCAAATGATTTTATAGATATTCTAAAAGAATTAAAAACTTGGGTTCATATTGTCTTAGTTTTGGATACAACGTCACAAATATTCCATGCGTCAGTCTATCTCGTAATATTGGGTGCACCCAAAATTCCCTTTGCCTCTGCCATCGTCTTTTATAGTGATGATGGAGAAGGCACACACAAGCAATTACTTTCACGTCCATTTCCAAACTGAGCCAGTGCAAACGGTTGTCGAACGCCAAGCTAACGCACAGTGTATGCGCTGCTAATGCGTGTGCAAAACGCCTAATGTGTACACAGCCTAAATTGATGGCATACTGTAATATAAAAATTATGCAATTTTATTTGTTTGTAAGCATTTTTTTATATAACAGAATAAAAAATAATTAAATTTTTAGAATAATAAATTCCGGATCTCAGACATTAGCTAATTAGAGCTAAAAACGACAGAAACAAGCAATTTTATAACGATTGTTTACATATTTCAAAGATTGTAGCCTTAGTGGGATGGCACTTAGCAGAAATTTGATCTCTACTGTTTTCACAGGTGGCTGATTCGTTGATCTAATATCAATATAAACAGAAAGTAACCAACTACAGTATAACAGAAGATAACTATCAATTTTATCAGCCAATAATCTGCCTCCTCGCCTCTAATTACTTTACACTGGGAGAGGACAGTATTTCGCGAAATATTTATGGCCCGGAGGTGGTAACAAAACGTTTATTGGTTGATACAGTCAAAAGACACATACAAGAAAGCAAATGAAAGCTTAGATCGCTACAGACTTGATTACAGTTTCTACAAAACTCCTCCTTCCCATGTTATATCTATGGAACATTTTTCTTTTGTTTATTGGATGAAACAAACCTTTGTTCACATGCCTGTTGAGCTGTGATTGGTATATTATAGCTAATTGACTATCCTTCAACGAATAAGCATCGACTCTGGTCTGTAGGGTGGGAATTTTCTTGCAAAAAGTCATGCCTTCTAAGAGATATTTTGTCAGCTACAAACATATACAAACAATTATAAATAATTATTCTCATTTATTTNTGACTATCCTTCAACAAATAAGCATCGACTCTGGTTTGTAGGGTGGGAATTTTCTTGCAAAAAGCCATGCCTTCTAAGAGATATTTTGTCAGCTACAAACATATACAAACAATTATAAATAATTATTCTCATTTATTTTTACCTGAGTTTAGTAAATTTATATGTATATTTGTACTGTTTTACGTTTATAAACGTTTTTTCAAAATCATCCAGTTATAAGTCTTTCTAAAAACAAAGTACTTCCGAATTATTATGGTACTTCCGTAAAAAATAATACATGTATTATCATTCATATAATAAGATGATAATCGTTTATTACAGTGCTCTGTTATTATAATAATGTAAATAACATGACAAAATCAGGTATACACCATCGATATACACAAAAGGTGTGTTGACCTAGATTTACAGAATTCAACTACCCCCCAAACCAGTGGCGTTGTAAACTATAGGCCATATTCTATCTCTACGTCGGATTACAAAACTGCAGTTTTTGTTATTTTGAGAAATTATAATAGTATAAATAA